ATTTTGATTTTTTTTTTTTTGTAAAATTATTTTTTTTTCTTATAAAAAAAATTGAAATTTTTTTTTTTTTTTTTTTTTTTTTTTTTTGCTTTCCTCTGTGTTGCTAATCATGTAATAGCATCATTGGCTTTTGTGCCTAAAACTAATGTTAACCATAAAATGGATACCATTGAAAACAAAAATCTGTATTTTTCATATACTTTATCTAAACCTAAAATTGTCTGTTACTAGATAGACTATCCTAAAAAGTAAACTGAAATATAATTTTTATGTTGATTTTTTCCCCCTGTATGGGTCGTGAATTTATTTGTGTAGCTTTGTGCCTCATTTGAGTCTTCACTGAAAATACATGGATCTTATTTAATTGTGCAATAATGAATAACTTCTGGACAGGTGAAGTTACTAGAAGTTTCTGTAAGTCTTGCATATTTTTAACTTTCTACTTTCAGTTCTCTCTCATAAGAGGTGAGGAAATCATTTATTTCATCCTTTAATTTTGTTCTTGGCAAATATCTTATATGCAAATATGCCTGTATGTTAAAATAGTCCCCGTGATACCTGAATGATTTCTTTGGTGACATTCTTTGGTGGAATTTGGTTTCCCTTTCCCTTTCTTCCTGTTTGGGTCACTAAAAATGAATGCAGCATTTTCACCAGGAAGAGACCAAGAATGTAGACAGGAAATCAAACTCAAATCCGGCAATTTTGTTTTCTACTTCTGCTACTAATTATGGAGTGAATGGAAATGAAGCATTTTAGTGAAATTGGCTGTGTGGAGTGACTTCTAGGAAACATATCCATTCTTTTCCTGTTACTGCTTCCTCTCATCCCAGCCACAGTATCTGCCACCAGCAGATTATAGTAGGGAAATACAAGGGAGGGTAGTAAAATATGGACAGTGCTCATGGGAACTGTGAGCTAAGATGCTAGGTTTTCCATGTGAAGAATAAAATGAAAGGATTCAGTGGGTAATGGTGAGGGGTGGACTCTTCCCTCCTTCAAAGGTTGAGCAATTTGGTTTGCTGGGAAATTGGGTTTCCTGAAATCAGCAAAGCCTCCGTTGGGTGCTGTGACTTGCCCTAGTCTCTCTCTACTGACTTGACAATGATCACAGAAAGACAGAATGACTCTCAAGCTTTGAATGAAGCCCCGGAATGAATCTCAGCTTACTATCTAATATTTCAATGAGCCTCAGGAATTTGATCTATTCAGTGTCTGTGTAGAAAATCTTTACAAATGCTACTAATTCATGTTGTGTAAATAATTATGATTTAACAATGTTATACTTAAGGCATTACGTTGTACATATTTGTTTGCTGGTAAAACGATTATTGTAATGCTTCCAGAAGCCTGAAGTGTTTACCGGCGTAGAATTTCACGTCAAAAAATTAAATGCTGTGTTTTTTTCATAACAGTGAAAGCTGAGGGCCCCTTTGTGAAAACACACATTTGTATTTCACTGTGTCAGATCAGAGACCCATCTAGCCCAATATTGTGTCTCTAAGAAGCATCAAAACCCATCACTACCAGGTTGCCTCTTCTCAAACTTGCAAATCTCAGGATTACGTACTAATAACACAGGTTCTCTCCGTAACGCAGTCTCAGCTATTCAGTCCGCGTTCATGTAACCATTTCATTGACTTAGTTACATTGCTAGCAAATACTATCTTTTGGACTATAGAACCCAGAAAATGAATAATCACACTACAAAGTTAATTACTTTGTATTAATTCCTTCTGCAACCACCTCTTTCAAGTCAGAAGGTATACTTGCCCTGAAGATGATTGATGGATATGCTGAGATAGTGT